CAGCCAGTGACCTACCTGCACTGTGTACCTGCTGCCAGAGCTCTGAAGAACCTCGCCTTCCTCCCCGGCTCTAACATCACCATAGTCCTCCAGCAAGCACACCCTCATGCCGCACACCAGGGTGGCCTGCAGGTACTCCACGTAGCCGCTGCAGTCGGCGAAGTCTGAGCGCGTCAGGAAGGCACGACCCTGCTTTCTGTGAGCACCACGGCTGGAAGGGGGCGCGGGCACCTGGGCAGCAGGGAAGGGCGGGGGCTTGGGCTGGAAGATGGAGTGGCTGGGGTGAGGCTGCAGCTCCTGCTGGGGCAGCAGCTCTGGCTTCTGGCTGTGGTCCCAGCCCATCACATGCACCAGCTCCAAGATGAGGTTTGCCAGAGCCATGCTGAACTCAAACTCCTCCTTCACACAGCTCCTCTCCCCAGTGCCCAGGCTCGGCACAGCGCGGTCCTGCTGCTCCCCTCCCTGCTCCGCGCCACTGCCGAGCTTCTCCAGGAGGGAAGTGACACGCAGGTAGTGCTTCACCAGGACAAACAGCAGCTTCCCGGGCACCTGCAACAAGCACAGCTGTCAGGCTCTAGCCTGCAGAGCACCTCCAGCCCGCACCTCTCTCCGAGCCACCAGTTCATCTCCAGGCAGGCTCCCGTGGTAGCTCCGGACCAGCAGGCAGTAGCACAGACCTCTCAGCCCACCCTTGTCTCCCTGCTCAGAGACAAGGCTCTCCACATGCCTCTCCACCTCCCCAGCCTCCAGACAGGCCCAGATCCTGTGCCAACTCTCCCAATTCCCAGGCCTGCTCAGCTTCCCGCTGCCAACTACCCTCCTGCCCCCATCAAGGACACCATCTCTGACCCCCACTCTCACCCCTCCTGACCCCTAAAGCCCACGCAGGGCCTGTTGCTACCTGGGGAAGGTGAATCCCCTCAAAGGACATGCCGTGCTCTTCAGAGGACATGGTCTCAGCAAAAAGCTCCAGCAAGGTGCAGCGACTCTCAAAGTCCATGTGCTGCTCAATGCCGTCCTGCTGGCTCAGGGACAGCAGGACATAGGCTCTGCTCCCTGCAACAACAGAAACCCCATCAAGATAATCCTCACCCCACGCCCACCCTCCCTCCCTGGCAAGGAACAGCTTTGCTGCTCCCTGTAACCCATGACCACGGTCTGTCCTTCAATCTCTATTGGCAATGTTTTGCTCCAACTGCATTTTTCCACCCCTAAAGCTGAAAGTTTCCCCCAAAGCAGCAACTCCAACAACTGAAGAGGGTTCCAGGGAAGAAAAAAGTTAAGTTTTAACCTGGATCAGTGCCCCTCTCCACCCCACTGGAAAGCCCTATGAAATCAGGGACAGGGAAAGCCAGATCTCCTGTGGGACACAGCACCACTAGCAACCTTCCAAGTGCTCCTAAGCCTCATCAGACACTTCTGAGCCACGGCAGCTCCTGTCAAACGAGAGGACCGGGTGAGGACCAGGCCTCTACACTCCAAGCCCTGAGGAAAGGCTCCTTGCCAAGAACAGGCCAGAGCCTTTCCATCCTACAGCATCCAGAAACACCTCAACACTCTGGCCAAGTCTCTTGGCACAAGTCCTCCAAACAGTTTATCAGAGCCCAGCTCAGGAACCTGCCAGGGGAAAGACCTCCCAAGCCACCCAGACAACTACAACCAAGGAGCCACCTGGCAGCTCAAGCCGGATCCCTCCCCTTTTGCCAACAAGCCCTGACACCCACAGCCCCCCAGGCACCCCACACCTCCAGGTGCCAGGCCTCAGGGGCACGGAGCAGCAGCAGCACCCACCTGCATCGTGCGAAGCCAAGGCCCTCAGCATCTTGCCAGCACCGTGGTGGATCTGCTTCTCCGGGTGGCACAGCATCTCCGTCAGCAGCAGCAGGGCCCCCGTCTCCCGGAAGGCCCCGGCCAGCGCCCCGATGCCGGCGTAGGCGCTCAGCACGTGGATGGTGCTGAGCAGGGAGGGCTGGGGGGCCCCGGG